AATATGACGTCATTATGACGTCATAAATGTGATTTTATTGGCCAAAACGCCTAGATAGGTTCTTCCCTGAAAACTAAACGGTATACGACATAACTTTACCAAAAGTGTTCATGACAGAATATTAGGGTGTACTTAGTCTTATGTTTCCCATAGCAACACCTGTGACGTCATAAAATGACGCCATGCATACATTAGCTATTCGCCGTCTTGGATCATCAATCTTGAAATTTGAAAAATGGTTTTTTTTCAGCATAAAGCCTAAAATACATTGTAAACAGACTAAAGACGTTCATACAAACCTTTTTTGTAAAAAGAAATGGGAGTATTGATGAAATTTTAAGGAAAATAACCCGTATATACCTGATCTAATGATATGGTCCGCCATCTTGGATTTTGGCCAAATTAGCATAAATTATGCATTTTAATGATAATATTTACATATTGTTATCGGAGATGTTATTAATATTAGAAACCATGTGTAACTTGACATAAAACCCTTAAAATTCTGTTGTTGAAATGAAAATTATTAAATTTAGCAAAAAATGCCTGTCATAAAACCGTTGCCATGGCAACACCAAAAATCATAATCTTATTCCAATGATACAGATTTGTTGCCAACAATATTTTACGAAAAGTCACCAAGTTTGGCGGTTCTAGCTCTAGCCGTTCAGACGCTATGTGACATCAAAGTTGGCGCGGGCACTTTTAGCCCCCCCCCCCCCCCGTCTAGATAGGGTTAAGAAAATTGCAGAGCCAAAGTAAAATTGATGTGCTAACCCCATACTGTAACATTTTTTTTTATTGAATTGGTGTGATTAATTTTATCAAAAGCTTTTTTTTTTACTAAAATTTGTCAGGAGAATTGTTTGGATGCTTTGGGGGCTTTCGATACCTAGGAGGATCGAGTTGACCATTGTACTTAGGTAGTGAACAGTACGTGTAAACATCCCTTTTCTACAGCCAAACTGGTTAGGGTTTAGTACATTTGCCACGTCCTGGAGAACCCATCTCGTATCAAATGATTCAAACACTTTGAGAACTGAGGTGAGGGAAATTGGTCGTGGATTATCAAGGGTAGCTGGTGACTTTTTCGGTATCGGACAGATAATGGCCTGTTTCCATTGTTTAGGGACGTAGCCTTCCTGTAAAGCGGAGCTGAAGATATGAGCAAGAACTGCGCCAAGTTTGGCCGCTTACTGTTTAGCAATTCTAAGGGACAAGTTGTCCGGACCTTTGCTTTTATGGGAGTTGAGACGTCTAAGAGTGTCGTAAACCTCCCATGTAGACATGCGAGGTGGCCTAGAGGGGGATAGTAGGTACGGGGGGAGGGAGTAAGGGGGAGGGAGTAAAGATCTAAACGGGGCAGTTCATTAACAATCGATGCAAAATAACTAGTGACTAAGTCGACTTTGGTTTGGGTATAAATCTCTCTCTCTCTCTCTCTCTCTCTCTCTCTCTCTCACTCACTCATGTTTTTTTTGAAAATACGCCTTTTTTCACGGCCTCTCAAGGCCATTTGCTTATTAATGTACATTTAACTATCGTTCATTCTACAGGTATCGTGTGTTGTACAGTCCTTCTGGAAAAATACTCCACTTAAGAAGAGCCGCGAGTTTCACAGTAACGGATACTATGCTGGGATTAAAGTAAGAATTCTTCTTTGTATTTTTATTCACTTTTTCAATACAGTTTTGGCGACTTTACAATAGTTTTTCTCTAAATGAAACGTTAATTTAAATATTTTCTCCCTGTCTAGCTGGTGTGTTGTTGTCTGTTTTTCTTCATGTTCAGGTCATTATAACTTTTAGAAGAGCTTATTAATTGTAATGAAATTAGGTTATAGGGTATGTCTTGGACAGAAAAAGGTCAATGTTAAAATTTGGGCCTACTTTTGGTTTACCCTATTACTGCAGCATATCTTTTGACCTGGACATGCTTTGTTTTTTTTTCTGTGGCTGATAGCTTTTTACGCCAGGAACAAGTGATTTGCGTTTGGTTCTCACGTGGTTTGGTCCGGATCTACAGGGGCGTCTCTGGCGAAATTTTTAACATGAAATTTAAAATAAATAATTTAAGTCATAAAAGGAACGTCGGATTTTCCAGATTTCTAGACAGATAGCTTACTAGATAAAAGTGTACATAATCAGTTTCAATGTTTCAAATGCCAAGTTAGTTTGCATGTTTTAGAGGAAATTTTACAATTTCAGTGTAACACCAAGGGAATTCAATCAATATTATGTATGTGACTTGGCAAGCAAAACAATAAAAGATACTACAAATTATTTAAATAATGGTATAGTTTGCATAATAAGTACTAAAATGTTATCTAATCTATAATCGATATATGTGGAAATTTAGTTAAAGCTTAACGTCACTGTGTGTATATTGTGTAAATATGGATTTGCATAAATGATAATAAAAAAGGTTAAATAAACGTTGTCAAAGAATAGGACTTTATCGTTTATCTAGAATACATTGTATTTACCTTGAGAAAACCATTGATTGAAATTTATTAATTTATTTATATAAGCAATGAAACAAATTAAGAATGACCTCTGCAAATCTCTAAACATTTCATACAGTATCAGGTCTCCGATATGTTTTTCTTAGATTGTTTTCCGTGTTAAAGTTGCCATGTCTTAAGAACTTTTACGTGCGATGTATTTTGATTGTTTGCTTTATGTTTAACTTAAAAATAATAATTACTGTTATTGAATGTAGTGAGTAGGTCAAAACATGTTGTAGCCTTTTATTCCACAATGATAAGTAATTATAGTGGTCAGAATCAATAGGCGGTTGGTTTTACTATATTTTAATGAAAATAGTAGTTACAAGTTCTATGGTACAGATACACATTACAATACATTTTTCAGGCTAATAAAACATACATGGAGATAGCGGAAGGACAAGACGACACTCTACTACTTTACAGCACAGTACCATTTCTGTGTGACGATCGCAATCATCAAGGCTGCTCCATCGACATCAAATTACATGTTAATGACGTCACAACGGGAACAGGAAACGAAAACAAATGTATCATTAAAATTTATTCAAAAAATTGGAACACAGCAACTCATCGAGCAGAGGCAACGGAGACTACTATATTTGCTAAACAAGATCTCCAAACAGATGGAGACCGGGTAAATGCGTTGGTTTTTCAACCCATTCCAACGTCAGAGTTCTACCATGATTTGGAAGACAAATTTGTCCCAGCCACGTACAGTGGCTTCACTCCGGACGGCATTCAGGTAATATGAGTTATTTTTCTATAATTTTCCTTTTGTTAACATATATATCCAGTGATTAATTTCTGTCTAATTAATTATTTGACAAATATAATGTGTCTATGTTTACATCGGAAGATATATAAGCACACTTGAACATATATGCACTAGGATCTAAAATCTAATCAAAAGAATAAATTAGTCGTCTTGCTTGACAACATTAGCTCGCATGGGAACTCTAGCTATCAAATTTGATCTGTTTTATTTCATTTACTCATTTATTTAAACCGCAGGTACGAACCATAGACGCGGGCGCAAATGGCCATTGCAAGGGTGTCACTGATCCACACTACACCACTTTTGATGGCACGTGAGTGTACATACAATTAGTTTTATGTCAAACTATCAATGTTTTAGCAGCTTTGCATAAAATTTTAGATTTTGGTGTATTGAAGCTAAGAAGTAACACACCAGTTTTCTACATGCTGCATAGGGCCGATTTGTACGTTTTGATTAACTCACATCGGAAACGATATATACTTGACAGGTATGAATAAATATTTGATGTGCTTGGGGTATGGCTCTCCACAAACACATGTCCTCACGGTGGTTAACTTTGGTCCCTAATTTGCCCACTTGTTTTAGAACCCACACCGTGTGTTTTACACCGTGTGTAATTCGAACAGAATGGTGTTAAAAATGGGATCACTCGCGGTCATTTACAATTAACCTGGGTCTTCTGGTCCCTCTTTACATAAAACTCGGTACTTCCTACCAGAAAAATCCACCTTTTCACAAATATAAAGCAATTCTTTTTTTTATTCCAACATGTACTTACCAGACGTGGTGACGACACACTCAAGTTTTTTCAACTTATATTAATGCCGCCAGCAACACAGGGGACAAATACAAATAAAACAATTCCTAGACAGTACATGTATGCAATCGTTTTGTAGTAGACATGGAACATAAAACGAAGCTACTACCTTCATGGTGGATGACTTTAAAGATCACAATACTTGTACACGCCGGCATGAATACGGCGGTCTGTCACTAATGCTGAGGTCACAATTCCTACACGGGGCCCGGCCGGGCAGCTTTTGAGAACGAAAAATATGATATAAACACGGTGGTAAAATCTGGGCTGAAAAGTTCCCACATGTCATAGAACCCGAACTGTGTTCGATCGTGTTCGATCTGGGCAATTCGAATCGAACCCGCGTTCTATTTCGGGGTCACCTGCGGTCATTTACAATAAAGCGGCAAAACAAGCCCTTCTGCCTGAATGCCTCGCAACAGATAAAAAACAACACTTTTCTATAGATACAAACAGTTTCCTGGACAGCACATGTCCGCTATAATTTTTGGTGGGTATGTAACATGTAGCGAAGCTACTGTCGTATCCTTGGGTGACCTTGAATACTGTAATGATTCTTTACACCTATATGAATAACACAATGCACACTTTCTGGCGATATGACATGTCTCCAAAACTCGTTCAAACCTGGAAACATGGAGAGTCAAACATACTCCATTTACGGCTCAAAATGACTGTAATGGTTGTCCCGAAAATCGTGTTTTAGGGATTTTTGAAAAATGGCCTCAATTTTGAATTATGGGTAATTTTGTGAGAAAAATGTCAAAAAATGCCATTTTTTCACCAATATGTCGACAAAAACTAGACTTACAATCAGAAATTAAAAAATCCCTAAAACACGATTTTTTATCTTATTCCTAGTCTGCGAAAAATATAAAAATCGGGGATCTGGGGTAATATACATAGCCAGGTTTGAACGAGATATGCCTAAAAACGTGACATGACTTGTGCTCGGAAACCGGAAAATAATCGTCTTTCTGAGCGAAATTTTTAAAAATCAGTGATTTAACATAAAAAGCTAACATTTGAAGGATGTTAAGACGATAATTTCATTTTAATTTGACGAAATTTACCCCTAAATATTATTTGTTCATTTTCAAATATTTTACGGGTAGTCCAAAACAGGCCGAAATAGCGTCTTGTAACCCGATACCTTTTCGAACGCGCATAGCAATGGGAAAGAATGCCGTAGTGACAGACCGCCGTGTTCAAACTGTTATAAATCCAAAATCAAACAAGATAAATGCAAACGGTTTGCAGGAAATTATTACTGATGCTTTTACCTTTCAACCGACACTAAATTTGACCTTCTGGTACGTCCGGAAAGCCCTAATCCTAATCCTACCTTAAGGCTGCCCTTAAAACTTCTAACTGTTATAAATCCAAAATCAAACAAGATAAATGCAAACGGTTTGCAGGAAATTTTTACTGGTGCTTTTACCTTTCAACCGACACCAAATTTGACCTTCTGGTACGTCAGGAAAGCCCTAACCCTAATCCTACCTTAAGGCTGGCCCTTAAAACTTCAAACTGTTATAAGTCCAAAACCAAACAAGATAAATGCAAACAGTTTGCGGACCTTCAATACCGGGACTATTACCTTTAAAATGACACCAAATTTGACCTTCTGGTACGTCCCACAGCACGAAAACAGATATTAAAGCAAACTTTCCGCAATATGTAAAGAGGTATTAAAGGTGCAGAAAATTTTAAGTTGACTTTACGACTTAGTAAAGGTTGCTGAAAGGCAAATACCGCCTTTCCGTCACCTTTCAATGTGCTTAAATACGACGTAAATATATAGAGACATTTAAGCAAACTTTGTGCAGTACGTAAACAAGTATTAAAGTTGGGAAAATATTTCAGTTGACTTTACGACTTCGTAAAGGCCACTGAAAGACAAAGTCCGCCTTTCCGTCACCTTTCAGCGCGCTTAAATACGACGTAAATGTATACAGACATTTAAGCAAACTTTCCGCATATGTAAAGAAGTATTAAAGGTGGGAAAATATTTCAGTTGACTTTACGACTTCGTAAAGGCCTCTGAAAGGGAAATGTTCCGTTACGTAGCTTTTTTTAACGTCTAACCATGTTCCAAATGGCAAATAGATAAACGGGTTTATCGCCCAGCCGGCTTCGCACTTTCATTTTGCTTTATTTGTGAAGCATGACAAAACTTACATTGCTTTTATGTAAAGTTCTTGAACTTACAAAGTATCCATATGCAGACACCCAATGAGGAACGTGTCATGTGATAGGGCGGTACCCAATGGGATACAAGACAGCGAGGTTCAAATGTACCGGACTCAACTCATTTTTATGGCGTCTATTTCGAAGACACTTCGATCCTCCTTCTAATCGAGACATTATGGCTGAAGTTGAGAATCTCATGGAGCGAGGAAAGGCAAGAAAAATATTTCGACTTCTTTAGAATATGTTGAAATTGGTGGAGGCCCAGTCGGAAAGGATCCAGGGGCTTCTAAGCAGCGGCAACGACAACACGACTCTCGGCCCGGCTCGGCCCGTCTGACAACAGCCAGGAGGACGGAGGAGATATCTTTTACAAAATGCCGTATACGAGGGAGCTGATCAAATATATGTTTGGAGATACAAGTAGTCAATTCCTTGTATCGGTGAGCTTAGTTTAGGAATATATTATTTGAACTGTTTTCATTATACGTAATCTGCAGCTGGGGAGGGATACGTAATAATGTGACAATATAGTATGAGCTAACATCTTGTTCTAAAACATTTCATTAGGAATCATTGTATTTTGTATGCTTTACTCAATAAATTGTTCACAGATCATATCTGTTTCTGTCATCATATTCACATATACCGACGTATGTTAAGGTTATGCACAGCCGATTCAAATGTTTGGAAAGGCAACTTAAAGCTTAAAATTGTCCGTAAACAGTGATTAAAGGAATGGTTTACGAAGCCTTTACGGACATAAAGAGTGCGTAAAGGCACCGCTAAAGTGAAAAACGTATCTTTCCAGCAGTACGGAAAGGGCACGTAAAGACAATGTTTACGAGAAACTTAAAGGCAGCTAAAAGACCTCTTAAATTTTAAGTAAACGCATGCTTTCCGACCAAAAAAGGTC